ACTGACAAGCTATCTTGGCTTGCGGATCACCCGGGACAGAGCACGCCGCACCATTACCCTGACTCAGTCACACATGGTGCAGCAGGTCCTTCAGCGCTTCGGCTTCACGTACTCCTCGCCTCAGTCCACTCCTCTGCCTACGGGACACTCGCTCTCAGCTCTGCCTTCGGATGAGTCCGTAGAGTCGAGTGGTCCGTATCCAGAGCTTGTGGGCTGCCTCATGTACCTGATGACTTGCACTCGACCTGACCTCGCATACCCTCTCAGCATCTTAGCACGCTATGTTGCTCCCGGCCGTCACCGGAAGGAGCACATGGATGCAGCTAAGAGGGTGTTGCGCTACTTGTGCAGTACGTCGCGCATGGGGCTAGTGCTTGGAGGGCGTGAGCGGCCTGTGCTCACTGGGCACTCAGACGCTTCTTGGGCTGACGACCAGGCTACTCAGAGGTCGTCTCAGGGTTACACCTTCAGTCTTGGCTCTGGCTCTGTCTCTTGGCGCTCTACTCGCTCTTCTTCGGTTCTCAGCTCCAGCTGTGAGGCTGAGATCTACGCCACGGCCATGGCTGCCCAGGAGCTTCGCTGGCTCACCTACCTGCTGACTGACCTTGGAGAGCGGCCTCGTTCTCCTCCAGTGCTGTACGTCGACAACAAGGCAACCATTGCCTTGTGCGAGGAGCACAGACTAGAGCACAGGACGAAGCACATTGCTCTGCGCTACTTCCTTGCTCGAGAGCTGCAGCAGCGTGGTCAGCTTCGCCTGCGTTTCGTGGCCACTGAGGCCAACACTGCTGATGTGTTCACCAAGGCACTTCCGCCTCGTGACCATCAGCGCTTTTGCACTCTGCTAGGCCTTGTGCCCACTGGGCCTCACTTGCTTACCTCTTTACCTTGCTTGTACTGCTGCATATATATATCTTTGCTCTTGCTTGTTTAGCACTGTTATATATATATGCTCTGCTGCATGTGAACTGGCCTTGTGGCCTTGACCTTGTGCTCGGAATTTGTGTGGTATCCTTGAGATCCACCCTGAGCTTGCTTTGCTTTGCTTTGCTTTGCTTGACTGGTCTTGTGACCCCTTGCTCTCCCCCACTTTGCCTATGGGGGTGTGTCAGATGATGCATATATTTAGGCTCTAGTGGGGTAGCCCATACGGGGTACAACCCAATTAGGGTTGGTACTTGTACTCCTTTCATTTTCATAGTGCACACATTCTCTCTCTAATCTCAACATTGGCCTGGGGGGTTATGGGCGCACTAACCCGCTACTTAACAAGCCCTTTTATCCCAATGGTCTAGTGGTTGGGATTCTGACAGAATGTGGACAACGCGTCAGAAGAAGCCGTACCTCTCCCGTTCTGCTCCGTCGACGTTCCCATGGACGAAGACAACCCTCGCGAAAGTGTCAACGCCGAAACCTTCTACTACTTCGCTGACAACGGTTACGTAACACCTGCAACAGTCAACACCAACGAAGCAGAACGAGTAGGACCGAATTTCATACCTGATCCAGAAGCGGGAGATGAAGCAGCTTATCCCGAGGATGCAACCCTTCCCCGCTACTCACAGACTGGACTGCAGATACTCGGCCTTGTCACCGCAGTCCACGGCAACACCCTTCCTAAGGAGCCTGCGACGGTTCAGCAGGCTCTGGGGGGGGAACACTGGGAAAAATGGCGTGAAGCCATGGACAGAGAGTGAAAAGCGCTGGAGGAACGGAACATCTGGAAAGTTGTCCCCATCAACGTGGCAAGGAACAAGACCATTCTCACCGGGAAATGGGTCTTCCGCGTTAAAACAAAAGCAGACAGCACTATTGAGAAGTTCAAAGCACGCTGGGTTGTGCGTGGATTCGATCAGGAGCACGGACGGGACTTCACCGAGACATTCGCCCCGGTTAGCCGACATACCTTACTTCGAATCCTCCTCGCGATCGTCGCCATGAAGAAAAGGAAGCTACGGCAAATCGATGTCGCCAACGCGTTCCTCTACGCACCTGTCGACGCAGAAATCTTCGTGGAACTACCGCACGGTACTAACGGAGAGCCCAACCAGGTTTGCCAGCTGCTGAAATCGCTCTACGGAATCAAACAAGCCCCGCGGCTGTGGCAACAGTACCTACACGCTCGCCTCATTCGCATCGGATTCCGCCAACTACCTCACGACCAAGGAATGTACCAACTCACGAAGGGTACCAACTACATCCTGCTGATCGTCTACGTAGACGACCTACTCTACATCGGCTCCACTGACGACATCACCACCTGGTTCGAAGGGGAGTTACAGAGGGACCTCACACTCACGGTCTCCTCTACCGTCACACAGTACCTCGGCTTGAACATTCGAGAGGAAGAAGATGCGATCTACCTCAACGCCACTAAGTATGCCAACACCATCGCCAAACGCTTCACGATCACGCCTACCACCATCTCTACGCCCTACCGCTACGCGACAGGAAACCACGAGGAAGGATCCACTCTACTCAAATCTGCCGGGATACGCGACTACCAGAGAAAGCTAGGATGCCTTCTCTTCGCAGCCGTTACCTGCCGCCCCGACCTCTCATACTCCGCAAGCCAGCTCGCCACTCATCTCAAAAGGCCTGAAGCAAAACACATGGCCGAACTCGACCGCGCTCTACACTATCTCGTCAGTACGCCAACGATCGGCCTAACATATCACAAGAACGCGACCACGCCACCTAAGCTAATCGGTTACGTCGACGCAAATCACGCGGGCGACTCCGACAACAGACGATCACGCACCGGCTACATCTATCGCTTCGAGCCTATCGGGCCTATCTCCTGGCAATCGAGCAAGCAGGAACTAATTGCTCTCTCGTCAGCTGAAGCAGAATATATTGCACTCTGCTCAGCCACCAAGGAAGGACTCTATCTTCGCGAGCTGCTGGAAGAAGCGAAGTTAGCCGAGTTACCCAACTTTACCCTGTTCTGCGACAACCAGTCGGCAATTCGCATCGCCAACAAGAACGGTTTTGCGAACACGACGAAACGCATCGCCCTGCGATACTTCTTCGTGAAGGACGAGATCGAGAAGGGAAGGCTCGAGCTGTCATACTGCCCCACGTCCGAAATGGCAGCTGACTACCTGACCAAGAAGCTCGGAAAGCAGAAATTCGAATATTGCATGCTGCTGACTGGACTGAGCCACGTCAGCGACACTCCAGAAGCGAAGGGGAGTGTTGGAAACAATCGGTCCTATGCGCCTCTGTCGTGTCGAAACACTAAAGAGACAAGTGAAGCAACGCATATCGAGGCACCAGCGAGTCAACCCTCGGAAGTTGAAGCAACAGCTGGAGGTTACGCGAAGGTCAAAGGTCATCGACCATTGACTTGACAAGTGCAGCGCGACAGCAAGGACACACAACTGACTCGATATTGAGCAGTTGCCCGAGTCGCACTGTATCGAACCGCAACAGCCAACAGTAAAACAGTTATCATTCGTATCTCTTCGTATTCCTTGTAATCATATATAAAATCTTGTATCTCCTTGTTTTAATCAACTTACTTTGCCCTCACATACTAGCGCAAGGTGGTTCAGAATCTCTTTGTTAACGCTTCCGCTACTACATCATTTTACCCAGAGATTAACCCTACCAAAGATCCTAAGGGGCACTTAGCCCAACAACGTTGAGCCCCGCAGTGGACTCTGTTGTCCTTGCATGGTGGGTGGGCATGCACGCTCTTGTTACCTGCCGTTCCAACGCTGGCGAGCCTCTTTGCTGCAGCGTTGGCACGCAGTGATGCAGCGCTGGCAGGTCGTTGACATGCAGTGTTGGCAAGCCGTCTCCCAGCTGCGTTGGCACTCCGTCGACTTGCTACGCTGACAAACCGCCCCCGTACTTCGCTGGAGGTCGGCCTGCCTGATTGCTAGGTTGCTAGGTCCCATATGTAGTCATCTTTGCAATTGCAATTTCCATCTTTTTGTATTCCGGATTGCTAGTGAAACTCTTGGGAAAACTGCCCCATGAATGCGCAAGCGCTAGAGAACACGAGCAAGCTACAGTCACACATACCATTCGTGCCTTCCCCCGTAGTCCAGTTTCGTGTAGAGTGATTCACCGCATGGACTTCGTACTCGGTAAGGTTGGACCGTTCAGTTCAGGAGTGTCAATAATATGTCTTATCGTCATATATTATTTGACCACGTTTACCAAACCGAAAGTGAGCGAATTTTGACATGTGGATAAGTGGCATTATTGTTTTCGCGAAATGAACTTTCAAACCTAATGTAACCTGTGGAAGAACGAAGAACGTTTGGGAACCGTTCCAAACCGTCCCAGGCAGAGACATAGGGGTTCGGCTGGTGGCTTGGTCACTGAAACCTATCGGCAGGTCATCCCACTGACCCCAAGGACGTCCAGCCCCACCAGCAGAGCCGAATTTCTCGAGGGGTCACTCTGACTCAACGAAGCGCATACTGCGCACGTCACCCAACAGACACATGGGGATTGGTTGGGTCGAGTCGGGAGGGACTCAAGGGACTCGGGTCGGAGGATTCCATAGCGGACAATTCGAACTGCGATCTCATTTTCCCAGTGCGGGTTTGCAAATGTAATCTTTTCGGGCAGAACCAAGCGGCTGCCCGTGTTTAGGATTGGGGCTCCCCGTGTTTAGGGTTGGAGCTCCACTAATCGCATGCCATCCAGATGGGGTTTATTTTTTCAGACCGCGGGCAGATTACGACCCATCAGCTTCTTCCAGGCGGACTGTTAGGGATTGCATTTGCGAACCGCGCTGGCTTAATTGGATTGCAGCTGAAGCTGTCCCATTCCATAGTCGGGACTCGGGAGGAGTCGGGTGACAGTCAGCATTTCCAGTCCCCCACTCTGGCAATATGGTCACCACCATCACCTCCTACATTCATTGCTCACCCAAACACTCGCTGTGACTGCTCCCAAGGTGCTGCATGGTAGCTGTTCTCGCTCAGTAATTCTGTACGAGGGAGTGAGCTGTGTTTGGCAGTAAGGAACCCAGACTGAGGATGGGTTCAGCTACAGCCAGCTATCCAGCTGTTCCCAAGTAAGTATCGTCCGAAGTGTCTCAGGAGAATAATTCAACCCTAGTATGATTATTTCAGAATCAACATCAGCCATTTGAGCATCGGCTTGTCTGATCAGAAAGAGGTTCAGTCAAGGTCGAACAGAAGATGTAATGAACTCCATATTCCGTGGTGCTCTGCAGGTCAGACGCGCCACTACGCAGGGTGAAGTCGTTTACTCGAGACACAACTTCCCCCACTTCTTCACGCATGCGACTGGGATGTGGTCTCATGGCGTGCGTTCTGCTTATACCTTTGTTCCTCTGGGCCACTTTCTCAAACTCCCCGTCAACAATTCAAGGTCAGCACGCCCGATTCGTGCGTCTTCACGCATCATTCGTATCTCCCTCGTTCGTTATCTCTCCTGATGCTCACACTGACACGGCATTTCCCTGTTCTCCGTTCAGACATCACAACCACCGTCGTGACGTATTCGATTGGTTCAGAGGTTAGTTAGCTTTGCTGGTTCAACCAGTTTGCTTTCAACCTCGGTGCTTTTGTGTTCGCTATAACTCATAGAAGAATTCTTCTCCGATCCAGGGTGGCGGTCCAACAGCACGCATTGCAGCAGAGCAATTGCAACCGCGCGCGGGCGTTCTTCAAATCGAGGAGGTGGTCAGCCTATCAGAGCCCCGGGGAGGTTTTCCAAAGCAGGCGGATGTATCTCAGGCCGAACAGGCGGTCGTGAAGCAGGAAACAGACGGTACGGACGAATTCGCCGGCGACGTAGGAAGCTCTGCGATGAATGACGGCAACAATTTGTCGGTCGGGGAAGCATCGTCGCCGGCGCGAAAGGAGGATGAAACGAAGGCCGTGGTGGAGGAGGAGTCAGAGAGCCCCTCGCTCTCGTTGGATCAGAACGGGTCAGACGGCGATAGGGGTAAGAAGCAGAAATGGCAGGTGAAGGACGAGACCGAATTGAACGATCGCGAGCGGCACACAGCGGCGACGGCTCGCGGGACGGCGGCGCTGAAGACCAGTGGCGTGGCGGTAGCGGCGGCGGCAGATCAGGTGCCGGCGGCGAAGCGCGAGTCGTACATGGCCATGATGGCGGACCTCGTGACGCAGGTCGCCGCTGTGCTGCCGGACGCCACGCGGCGCGACAACGCACAGCTCGTCAAGCACGTGCGCGCTGCGCTAGAGCGCGCGGAGCCGCTGGTGGAGGCATGGAAAAGCGCGCGGGCGTGGGGCGGCGAGGAGAAGGCGATCGGGGTGATCAAACTGCTGGAATCCCTGAGGGCGCGCGCTCAGGAGTGGCGTAGCACGCTGACGCTGATCGAACGGCTGAGAGGCGAGGTGGATAAGATGAAGACGAAGCTAAAAGCCGTGAGCAAGGAGCGCAACAAGCTGGACCTCGCTGCCGCCAAGGCGCTCCCTAAAGCGCTGCACTGCCTCAACCTCAGACTCGCCGTGGTGAGCCGCATCCCAAATACCCCTGTTTCCCGTCTTTCCAGCTCACCACACCTGCGACCGCACAGAATCGTCGTCGACCTGCTTGCCTAGCTACTGCTTGTTACCGTGTAAGCTTTCCACCCAATCCATGACGTTGAATCTTCATTGATTTGCGTGGCGTGTGGTAGGCGTATGGCAGCAACGAGCACATCAAGGAGGTCACAAGGGCGCGAGAGAGCAAGCAGGCGAGGAGGTTCGAGGACCCGTCGCTGTACCACTATGCACTCTTCTCGGATAACGTGCTCGCCGTGTCGGTCGTCGTCAACTCCACTCTGCAAAACGCCAAAAACCCAGAAAAGTAATTTGTGAAGCAGCACGCACATCAGCTCTCTGTTGCAGCACTCGCCTGCCTGACATGCTGTTGGCGGGCCTCCAACGGTGGTGCACTAGCATGCGTGCATGGCCGCATGTCAGTTGCAGTTTGTGATGTTTCTGTGCGCATGCTCCTTACCCGCATCCGTTTCTGTGGCAGGCATGTGTTCCACGTGGTGACAGACGAGATGAATCTGCCAGCCATGCGAGCGTGGTTCGCGCTGCACCCGCCAGGCAAGATGGCTCTGGAGATCAAGGCCGTGGAGCACTACTCGTTCCTCAACGCCTCCTACTGCCCCGTGCTGCAGCAACTGCAGGCAACAAGCCTCAAGGCCTTCTACTTCTCGCAGCAGGCAGCTGAAGGTCAGATGCTGCCCGGTTTGTGCTCGTATGTAGAGAGGAATGCCATGACAGCCTGCAGTAACTGCTATAATGTTGTGACAGCGTACAAGCACGTGCACCTGCATTCTATGTGCGTGATGACAGCATGTTGTAATGCCCGTGCTCCGCTGATGTGCAGACAAGAAGCACGTTTCTGGAGGGGCGTCCGCGGAGGCAACAGCAGGCCCAACGCAGCTAAAGTTCAAGAACCCCAAGTACCTCTCCATGCTCAACCACCTGCGCTTCTACCTGCCCGAGGTGCGTCCCTGCCTTGCCTGCCATACCCGTACACAGCACTCCAACGTTTGGTCCTGCCTCCACGTGCATGCACCAACCCTCTCTGTGTCCCCCCCGGTGGTCTGTCCATGCGCACACCAGATGTACCCAACGCTCAACCGAGTGGTGTTCCTGGACGACGATATCGTGATGCAGAGGGACCTTGCGCCGCTCTTCACACTGCCCCTGCACGGCAACGTGAACAGCGCTGTGTTCACGTGTGTGGGCGACTTCCACCGCCTCTTCAAGTACCTCAACTTTTCACACCCCTACATCAAGGAACACTTCGACCCCAACGCCTGTGGCTGGGCGTACGGCATGAACGTGTTTGACCTGCAGGCCTGGCGGCTCCACAACCTCACTGCTGTCTACCACAAGTACCAGACCATGGTGCGTTGGGGGTGATGTGGGGGGATGCATGGTGAAGGGATTGTGGGGGGGGAGGGTTGAATAATTGTTGAACTCAGCTCTCTTTGTTACTGTCAGCCCATGCAATGATCCCACCAGTCTCGTCTGACCCCACTTCTGTCCATCTGTTCTCTCTCTCTCTCTCTCTCTCTCTCTCTCTCTCTCTCTCTCTCTCTCTCTCTCTCTCTCTCTCTCTCTCTCTCTCTCTCTCTCTCTCTCTCTCTCTCTCGATTTCCCTATGGCCATTATGACTGCTGGGCACTACAGAATGCGGACCGGTCGCTGTGGCAGCTGGGGACGCTGCCCCCGGGGCTCATGACGTTCTACAACCGCACGCAGGCGCTGGACGCGCACTGGCATGTGCTGGGCCTGGGGTACAACAAGGACGTGCCCTTAGAGGACGTGCAGAAGGCCGCTGTTGTGCACTACAATGGCAACTGGGTGAGATGGGCTCTTAATCTCGTGCCATGACCGTTCTCAGCCTATCTCTCGTTCACTTGTTCCTTGTTTGTAAGTCTCGTGGCTTATCCTGATTTTTGCCTTAAATTCATTTGATGTGCTGTGCAGAAACCATGGCTGGATACTGCGATGAAGCACTTCAGGCCGTACTGGTTGGCATATGTGACTGCAAATGATGGCATTATACACAGGTGTAACGTGGATCTCAAGAGCTGAGGCCTGGGACACATGAAACGACGCATGAAGATGTTGAATACCATAGAGTTAGGTCACCACCCCCAAGTGCTGTCAAAGTCCCTCCAGAGGGAGAAGCTTGTATATAAGAGCACATGTTGCAATTACAGCTGCCCTCCCATCTAAAAATTAGAAGCGAATGGCCAGGTCAGGCAAACTGCAAAGCATGCAACCCAGATCTTGAGATTTTCATGTTCCAAATGCACCATGAGGCGAAGAAATTAGAGACCCTCCTCCACATATTTGGTTACGATAAGACAATTCTGCATCGGTGGATGGAATGCATTCGTTCATGACAGCCCGGATGTTGGTGTAAACATACATGCACTGATCCACATCGTAAGCTACTCAATTCAAATCCCTACTGAAGGACCACTCCTCATCACACCCTGCTGTCCTCCTATGAGGCTGTCCGCTCGCCCCTGCCTGCTTTCTTTGCCTCCTCCGCTGCAGCCTTCTCCGCCTCTATATCCGCCACTATCACCTCCACCTCGCTCTCTGCCAGAATGCGCAGCCCCTTGTCACGAGTCATCACTGCCACCTCGATGTTCTTGCCACCACTCTCCACCACCTGCACACACACCCCACACATCCACTCAATTATACTAGAAAACATCCGCCAAACCAAGTAGCATGTGTGAGCTTGCCACGGAAAGACGCTGCCAGGAACTAGTGCACTAAATCAAGGAGCAACTGCCCCCTGATGAAACCTTGAATGGTATGGCATGACATGACACGGCATGGCACAGTTGGGCACAGGACTGACCTCGAGCAAGGCCTTAACGGCAAGCTTGACAGTTTCGTCCCCATCAGTCTCGCTGTAGTTCTTCTCCAGGTACTCCCTCACTGTCTTGCTGTTGCGCCCCGTCGCATTCGCCTTCCACTCCGTGAACGTGCCTGCAGGGTCCGTCTGGAACAGCGACGGGCGCCCTGAGTGCGGGTCAAACCCGATGATGAGCGTTGAGATGCCAAATGGCCGCACTCCTCCACTCTGGACGCAGCGGCACGGCCAGGGGGAGAGAGGAGAGAGGATGGGTGGGCAGGCAGAACAAACAGTGAGAGATGTAGAGAACAAGACCACTACTGCTTTCAAGCACGCAGTTGTGCATAGAGGTGCAGAAACAGGAAGATGGCGCATGCGTCAGTATTGGCTCAGCACCGTAGCCGTGGCTGAGTGCATGTCCGCGAGGGGTGCACACCTGGGTGTAGCGCTGCTGCACGCCAGCGATGTAGCGAGAGATGTACTCCACAGTGACGGGGTCCTCCACCGTCAGGCGGTGGCTCTGGCACTCCACGCGCGCGCGGTTCACCAGCACACGTGCATCCGCTGTCAGCCCCGCGAACGCCAGCGCCACGTGCGAGTCCAGCCGGTGGATCTTGCGCACCGTGCTGAGAGCGGGAAGGCGGGTGGGGGATGGGGGGGTGGAGGGGATGGGAGGAGGGAAGCGGCGGAGAGATGACAGGGGCTGTGAGGAGACGCAAACAGTTCCATGGTGACCCATCTCACATGCTCCGTCTCACCAGGAGCCAGCGCCCCGTCTCACCAGGCCCAATCTCACCACGACCTACCCAACCCCCCCTCCTTTCTTCCCCCCCCTCTCTCCCTCTCACGCGCCCCATCTCACCGCGCGTCTTGCAGCTTGGCGGTGGATTTCTTCTCGACGCCCAGCACGAGCGTGTGCGTGCCGCGCACGCCGACGGCCGTGGTGCCCTTGGACACGGCCTCCGTGGCGTACTCCACCTGGAACAGGTGCCCGTCCGGGGAAAACACCGTGATCGCGCGGTCGTAGCGCGCCATGCCCGCCGCCTGTCAACCTGCGCGCACGTGCACGGGTGGCGGAGCGAAGGCCTGAGGTCGCTGCGCGGACACGGAGGGGGTGGGCGGGACGGTGCGTAGAAGAGACGGGGCGGGGGAGACGTGGCGCGGCGAATGGGGGCGGAAGGCGACAAAAAGGCGCGAGAGGGGGCGAAAGGGGTCAGGAACGCGGAAATCCATATGATGATGGGATGCATGCATGGCGATAAAAATATGAGTTTATGCACTGACTGACAAATATGAGTTTATCCAGATGTATGCTTACCCATGTAGCTCTATACGCATCACAGTTTATACAGACCCAGTGGACACCTGTGGCGTGACCTAGGTGATGCTGAGTGCCATGACTCACGGCGAAGGGAGAAGGATTGGCATGAAAACACAGAATCTATACTGACTCATGGCCGCCACGCCGGGCGGCACACCAATCGACATGCGAGAAGAAATTCATAAAGCGGGGAATAACTTCCGACTGACGCCTGAATTGCAAGTTACGAGGCTGTGGGCAAGATCCGGACCTGAGATTCGGTGAGGCTGGGTGTCAGCACAACGAGATCGAACGACCGCAGATGCGTAACGAATTCCGGTTACTTCTTCCTGAAGTCTCAGCCCCTATGCGGTACGCGAGGTAAGGTGTCAGGGACAGGCCTAAATGAAGAGAGCAGCCTGACAATCCTAAGTCTGGGATCGAGGAGATCGGAGGAGATTAGAGGAAATGAGGCGAGCCGAAGGAATAAGCGACAGGTCAGGTAGTAGTGTGACATTCCTGGGAGCCTGCGATGAGAATTTGGCGATTGTGCGAAGCCGAACCACTGCGCTGGTTACAAAACCAGATTGACGATATGAGATCGTTGTGACGACGATATGCTGTGCTTCCCTTACAAATTTTTGAACCATAGAATGCAGCAGCAGTTCAGTTCATAGGACTACAGTTCCCTTGGGCAGCTAATGTCGCGTACACAAACCCCTCGAACGCTGGTGTTTTTTCAGTAGCCAGGCGACTCCATCCGTTCCTGTCGCACTGCCATCACATGGTCATGTCGCACGTCCTCGCACGCACAGCGCTGCCAGCGCAACTTCGCCGCCGTCCCTCCGCATGGGCCACTGACCACGTGGCGTCACACTCACCCCGCGTAACGTCTGATTTCACACCTCTCCTCCGCGCCAGCCGGGCCGCTTCCAGCAAATGGTCGGCCCAGACGACGGGGCTGCGCGCCAAGCCTCCCCATGGATCCCACTGGGGGACCAGACGACGGCTTGCGCCATGCACTGCCGTGGAGGCAGCGGGTGATGCGGTGGGTTTGGCGGGGGACAGGGTACGGGCGGAAGGGGAGAAGCGGAGAGCAGGCGAGCACTCGGGGAAAGAGGAAGCGGAGGGGGAGGATGGAGATGAGGAGATGAGCGAAGGCGAGGGAGAGGAAGAGGAGGATGAGGAGGAATATGAGGAAGACTGGGAGGACGAGGATGAGTGGGATGAAGACTGGGACGATGAGCAGGCGGAGGAGGGGGGCGGAGAGGTGCCGGAGTGGGAGGGGGAGGGCGTGGAGGTGGGGGTGATAGTGGGCGCGCACGGGCTGCGCGGCGAGCTGCGCGTGAAGCCGCTCACGGACTTCCCGGAGCAGCGCTTCGGACAGGTGCGCGTGGCGCATGCTGGCGGAGAGGGATGGGGGGAGCGCACATGGTTGCCACAGTCCATGTGCGCGCGAGTGCATGGTATGGCACCGATTCCAGCTTAACACACGGCGATTCACTACCATCTTTGCCCCAATCTCTCCCCCCACCTGTCCCTCTTCCCACTCTCTCCCCCATTTCTACCCCGTGCACCGCGTCTCCGCGACCCCCCATTCCCCCCTCGCTCTCGTTGCGGGCGTGGCGGCGGCTGCAGGGTGGCTGGCGCTGGTTGAAGCGCCCAGGCAGGCAGTCCGCTCCCTCCCCTGCTGCCGCTCCCGCAGCTGCGCCGCCGCCACCAGCAGCAGGAGAGGCGGCTGGGGAGGCAACTGCAGGGGAGGCGGCAGCAGCGGAGCAGCGCGGGGCGGGTATGAGGCGCGTGTGGGTGAGGGGCGGGCGGCCAGGCCCGGGACGGTATGGGCTGTGGCTGGTGCGACTCAAGGACGTGGAGAGCGCGGAGCAGGTGCGCATGCTCGGTGGACCCACGGGTGGTATGGGTGGGGTGGGGACGCGTGGCTGTGTTCTTGGGGGTCGTTGGGGTGATGCTGGGCGGTCCATGGCAGTATGCACATCGCCATGCCTTCCGCGTCTCGGTCCTTGCACCACCTCTCACATGATGCCATCGCTGTCCCCCAACCCTAACCAGCATGCTCGAACGGTCCTTCGTATTAATAGCAGCAAGTGACAAACAAGGCAAGGCATCAATCCAGACGGTTGCTAAGCCAAGCCAATCCAAACAAAGATACCACACCTAACCAACCCCACCCCTTTCCTACCCCTCCTCCCCACGGCTTTAACCAGCATGCTCTGCTCTCTCTCCTCTGTGCTGCTGTGATGCTGTATTGACATGGCACATGGGATGGCGTGGCATGGCAGGCGGAGGCGCTACGGGGCAGTGTGATGATGGTGCGGGAGGAGGATCGCCCGGAGCTGGCAGAGGACGAGGTGTACTCCAGCGACCTCATCGGCCTCTCCGTGCTGCTCAAGGTCTCCATGCCCCCCATCGCACCCCACTGCCCCTCGCCTCGCGCCTTTCCTCCCCTTCGCCCGCCCTGCACTTTTTACACCTCGTCCCCTTCCCCCTCATCCCATCCGTGCCCTGCTCAGTCCCCCCATTCTGACCCCCTTCCCCTTCTTCCCCCGCGCTGGGTGCACAGGAGGGTGGCGCGCCCATAGGCGTGGTGGAGGACGTGTACAGCGGAGGGGGCGCGGGGGAGCTGCTGCGTGTGCGCCTGCACACAGGGGAGGAGCCGGCGGCGGGGTCAGAGGGGGCGGCGGGGGGAGAGGCAGGGAGGAGGGCAAAGGGGCAGGGCAAGGGGAAGAAAAAACAGGGCAAAGGGGGCGGTGGCAAAAAGGGGAGCGCGAGTGGCGGGGCCCCATGCGTGTGGGTGCCGTTTGTGCGCGCCATCGTGCCTGAGGTGAACCTCAAGCAGCGGCACCTTGTGGTGGACCCTCCTCCCGGGCTGCTTGACCTCAACCAGCGCCCCGCAAGCAAGGCAGAGCCGACGCCGGAGGAGGAGGGCGACGAGGCCGCGCGCAAGGGCATGGTCAGTGCGCGCATGCTGTGGCAGCAAGCTCTTCTTTCAGTTCTGTATGATACGCCACGCTCCCTCCTTCCTCCTCGTCCCTCTTCCACACTCCCTGTCACCCCCAGCCGAAGTCCTTCCACCAATTCCATCCCTCCCTTCCCCCCCTCCCCCCCCTGCCACCCCATCCCCCCTTTAGTCCGCCCGGGAGCGCAAGAAGCGGCAGCAGAGGAGGCGGCAGGTGGAGGAGCGGTACGGGCAGGCGGGGCAGCAGCACGTGCTGCACTGGGTGCACGCGGCCCTGCAGATGGAGAAGGCCGCAGCAGAGGCAGGTGCTGGCGAGGAGGGGGCAGGGAGTGCGCGAGCGCAGGGGCACATGCAGGGGCACGTGGACGTGGATGCAGTGCTGCAGCAGCTTCTAGCAGTGGACCTCAGGCGCGTGGCCCATGCCGTACACTCCGCCCTCACTCCGCGCGCACACACCGTGCCCCCCCTGCCCCAGCCCGTGCCCCTGCCCCACTGGCCGCTCCTCCTCGCACGTTCAGGTGGTGAGGCGGCGCTGCTGGGTGGCGCGGCGAGCAGTGAGGGGGCGGGTGGGGGTGAGGGTATGGAGGGAGAGGGCAGGCGGGCGGTGGGCGAGGGTGCAGTGGCGGTGGTGGCGCTGCTGGGGGCTGCTGCTGCTGCCGACGCGGTGAGGGAGGGGAGCGGCAGTGGTGCAGGGGGGGGAGCAGCGGGCATGGCGCGGCGTGTGGAGGAGTACGTGCGGCGAGACATGGCGCGGCTGAGGAGGCAGATGGGCGCTGTGGACGCATGGAGGGAGGGGGCGGTGAGTGCCCTGCGCATGCTGCACTCTTCCACGTGTTGCCGCACACACCCTCTTCCATGTGCCTTGCCTCACCGCGCCTCTCCTCGCCTCCCTGTTCTTGATGTGTGAGCAGGAATCATCCCCCCTGCCATGGCTGCTCGTGGTGGACGAGACGGCATCACCCCTCACTCTGCACCAGTCGCTGCTCGATGCCACTGCACCATCACAGGTCCGCCGTGCCAAGCCATGCCATGCCATGCCTCCTCTACGCCTCCTGCTCTCCCCACTTTCCCCCTTTCCCCTCAGCCCTCACTTGCCCACTTGCCTTTCCCCCACTTGCCTTTCCCCCCTCTGTGTTTTCGCTGTGTTTTTTCGTTTCTGCCTGCTCTTGGGTTGTCAGCCGTGTGGTGCCGCTTCACCAGGGTGTACGACACACAAAAGGCAGACGACAACCATCCACTGCAACTTCCCACCACGTGCCGTTTGACCTGTCTCTCCTCTATGTTCCCTTTCTCCCCCCCTCAGCACACCTGGATCCCCCTCCCGCAATGGCCACTCCTCTCGCTCAACCCACCCACCACCACGCCATCCACCCCATCTCCACCCCCCTCCTCGCCATCCCCTGACTCCGCCTCCTCTCCTCCTCCGTTCCACCTGCTTCTCCGCCCCCTGCCACGGCCTGAGGCGGAGCCTGCAAGCAGTGCGGCGAGTGCGGCGCTGCAGGGGGCGTCGGGCGGGGGAGGGGGAGTGTTCCTGGCGCTCAAGGACGCGGCTGTGCTGCGCGGCCTCGCCAAGCAGGGCGTCAAGCACCTGCTGGTCAGCCAGGGGGGTGGGGGAGGGAGGGTGGGAGAGGAAAGGGGTGCGAGGGTGGTACTGTTGAGAGGTAAGGTGCAGATGCGTGGTGGTGAGGGCGGACGGGGCACAGGGGTCGTTTGATGCACGTGGCATGATGAGAATCACTGTGGGAGTTGCATGGCAAGGGAGGTGGTCCAGGGCAAAGGGACGGGACTGAGTGACGATGCTGGGGAATGTCGTGAGCCAACTGCGGGAGATGATACACCGACCTCCAACCCATTGCTACTGCTGAAGAGCATGTCCTGATTCAACTTGTGCCTGTCCCTTCCCTCCCGCCTCTCTCTTCCCACCACCCCGGATTCTCTCCCAAGCAGGTGCTACTGCATCCGACAGCACAGCCTGATCCTTCCCTCATTGCTGCATGCATCCAGTCCAATGCTGACGTGGCAGTTGCTGCGTCAGCGAGCTCCGATGCCAGCTCAGCAGGAGTGCAGATGGAGAGTGGGAGCGGAGGGCAGCAGCAGGTACTGCGGGTGGCAGCTGTTCCATGTGAGCAGCAGGAGGAGGGGCATGCACATGGTGAGGATGGTAATGGGAGTGGGGCTGAAGACAGTGGCAAGAAGAAAGGCAAAGGCAAGGGCAAGGGCAAGGGCAAGGGCAAGGGTGATGAGAGGCAGTCCAGTGGAGTGAGGCTTCAAGTGCTGGAGGGCTGTGAGGGGGCGGAGGAGGCTGCCTCAATGCCTTCACACGTGCACTCCCTTGTGCTTCACTCAGACCAGCTGGTTGTTTCCATGAAGTTTCTGAAGTCGTTTGATCCGATGCAGCTGCCCTTCCAGCTGTTTGAACCATCACCCTTGGAGCAGCGCCTGCCAACGCCACATGCCGCAGCACAGGTGGCGGCAGGGGGGGAGGCATGGAACGGGGCAGCAGATGGGGGTGTGGCGGTGAGGCAGCGGGCAATGGACGTGGTGTGTATGACGGATGCAAGCAAGGTGAGAGCAGGGGCATGGCTCCTCTCGCACGGTAACTGCATGCTACTGGTTTGCTTCGCAGCTCACCTGTCTCTGGTGAAAGCCTCATTTTGCATGTTCTTTCTGCTGTGGTCCATTGCAGGTCGCTGTGTTGCTGCATGTGTCGTTGCCAAAGCCGTAACACCACCCACCCCACCATCGCCATGCCTGCTGCGCCGACACATGACACATACTCATCATAGGTTGCTAGCGCCAAGTGATGTGCTGTTTGAGATTCCTTGAGGTGTTCCTTTTCTTGCGCCGATATAGGTAGTTGCAGAATGGTGCAGCATGCACACATAATTGAGCTCCTTGCTGTTTTCCATTTTTGGCGAATATATGATTGCCATAAGGCTCCTACGGTGATTCAATATGTAGATGGTGCTTTCCAGCCTCTTGACCTGCTATGATTTGTCAACGCGTACAATGAATACGATCAGCGGGTACAGTGTGCGACGGGGAATCTGAATCCGAGCGTCGCCTGTGCGACGCCTTTTCCCCTTGCTCGCCCTCAAAGCTGCTCCCCTCCGCATGCTCATCCCCCTCGTGCTTGCCTGCTCGCCCCTTCACCGCTATTGCTCTGCCTCCCCATCATACCTGAGCTTGCTCCTCGCTTGCCTGGCGACCTCTCACCCACCTCGCTCCTCCTCTCCTCTCAGCGCATCTCCCATGCTGCTCGCAGTCGCCGCACCAGCAGTAATGGCGGGTCCTCCGCGCATCCCCTCCGCACTGCGCATCCCGCTTTTCTCCTCGCTCTCCTGCGCCTGAATCTGCCTCTGCACCGCCCTGCGTGGCCCATCACCCCTAAATCCCGCTCCGTTACGCACCGCCCGTGCGAGATCCGCGCATCTGCGCTTCCGCCTGACGGCCTGCATCGCGCGCATCCGCCATCGCCGCGCTCACTCGCCCCGACTGCACATCGCATCGTCGTCTCTTGAAAGCCAGCCACCACGGCGACTCCACGCGCGGTTAAGTCGCGCCGCATGTCGCTGGAGGACACCAGCGGCACGGCGGCGTCCGCAGCGGCGACGGCGGGTGGCAGCGGCGCAGGCGGGAATGCAGAGGCGATGGAGGAGGAGGAGGGATCGCAGGGCGACGGTATGGGTGGCATGGGCGGCGGCAACGGCGGGGGCAGCAGCGGCGGCGACGGCAAGGCGTCGCTGGGGGAGCTGCGGAGCCGCGGCGAGTGGAGCCGCGAGGCGACGGCGGTGCTGCTGGAGGCGTGGAGTGACAACTACCTAGCCTCAGACCAGGGCAACCTCAAGGCGGCGCAGTGGGAGGAGGTCACCTCGCGCGTCAACGCGCGCGGCGGCGGGAGCAAGGCGGCGAAGACGGTGGTGCAGTGCCGCATGAAGCTGGATTCGCTCAAGAAAAAGTACAAGGCGGAGCGCCTGCGATGGCGCGGGCTCAGCCGGTGGGAGCACTACAAGAAGCTGGATCAGCTCATCGGCGGCCACAAGCGCGTCGCGGGGGCGGGCGGCAGCAGCGCCGCCGCCATGGGCGAGGATCTGGAGTCGTCGGGCGTGGGCGGGGGCGGCGGGATGAGCTCCGGCGGGGCCACTCTCCCCGCCACGCCCGTCTACCCCGCCGTGGCCTCCGCGCCCGCCGCCGCGATGTCTGCAGGGGGGCTGGGCGGGTCCGCCATGGGCACGGTGATGGGCATGCCGCCGGCGGACGGCACCTACTTTCTGCACAACATTGCGGCGGGCGGCATGGCCGGCAGATTCGTGGGGAGCGGCAACGGCAACGGCGTGCTTGTGCCGAGCGGCATGCCTCCTCTGCCCGCCGTGGGCATGGGGATGGGGGGCGCGGGCAGAGGGGGCGTCATGGGGGCCTCTTCCGGCGCTGGCGGCCCCCCCCCGCCCATGGGGGTTTTACCCGGGGCTGGAATGGGCGGCAGCGTGTATTTAGGCACGGGGGGGGCCGTGGGCGCGGGGAGAGGTGGCGCAGGGGGCTTGGGGGCGCGCAACAGCATGATGTGCGCGGGCGCGGGCGGGGCAGTGACGAACGGCGACGGCATCAAGTGGTCCGCGGGCCCCATGGACCGGCAGGGGGAGTGCGTGGGGGAGGGCGGAGGGGAGGTTAGAGGCGCGGGAGGGATGGGGATCGGCGGAGTACGCTTGGGCGGGCTGGCGGGGCAAGCGGGCCCGTCAGCGGGGGCGGTGCTTGGGGGAGGGGCCGCGGGCGGGGGCGGCGGTGCGGCCCCCCTGATGCCTGCCTCCGCGGACGCCTTTCCCTCGCCCCCCTTCTTGCCCACGGGCGCACCTCCCGCCGCATTTTCTGGCAGGCCGCGCACAGGCGTGGAAGGCGGGGGTGACGTGGCGGTGGGTGAGAGCCCGGGATCAACGGCGTGCAACCGAGGGGATGGCAGGGCGGAGGGCGAGGAGGAGGAGGACGACGAGGAGGACGAGGAAGAGGACGAGGAGGAAGAGGGTGGTGGGGAGGATGCAGCAGGGGCGGTGGGGCAGTATGGGCGAGCGGAGGGCGAGGGAGGAGGAGGGCAGGGCGGCGGGGGGGGCTTAGGGGGGCCTGCATTGCCCAGTGGGGTGGGCGCGGCAGCAGGGGCAGGGGGGGAGCGGCAGAAGCGCATGCGGCGGTGGAGAGGGGGCTATGAGGGCAGCCGGCGCATGCCCAACGGGGCCGCGGATGCAGGCGGGCAGGAGGGTGGCATGGGGGGCATGGCTGGTAGTATGGGGGGCATGGGGCATCCAATGGGGGGAGTGGGAGCAATGGGTGTGGGCGAGGCGGCAGCGGCGGCGGTGGTGGGGGCGGGTGAGGACTCGGTGCGAAGCCTGGCGGAGGCGATCAGCAGTTTCGGCGAGCTATACGCGCGTGTGGAGGTGGAGAAGCAGCGGTACCTGATGGCCCTGGAGCAGCGGCGCATGGAGTTTCAGCGCGAGCAGGAGGCGCGCAAGATGGAGATGCTGAGGGACATGGAGGTGCGGCGCATGGAGATGGACATGAAGTTCCACCTCGAGCTCGCTAAACTCGCCTCGCCCTCGCCCTCGCCCACCACGCACCTCCCACAACCCCCATCCTCCTCGCCTTCCCCTGCCGCTGCTGCCGCTGCTGCTGGCACCGCGTCTACTACCCCTCCCGCGCATGCCCATGTGCGCGGGGCACCTGCTCCGTCGCCGGTGCCGTGGCCGCTCTCCTCCCCCGCCGCGCCATCCCAGCACCACGTGCCGTCGCCCATGCCCGCCGCCCCCACGGCATCGCACCACCCCAGTGCGCCCCACAGCGGCCTTGCGCACGCCCCCATGTGCCAGCCCTCGCCCACCGCACACCCTGCGCCCGCCCACCCGCACTCCAACCCACCGGCAGCCCAACGGGGCTCGTCACACGCGGCATCACCATCGCCCGTGGCCCCCATGGCCCCCATGGCCCCCATGGCCCCCATGGCCCCCATGGCCCATGGGGGGCTGGACTCGCGCCCCACTGCTGCAAGCAGTGGCGGGGCGGAGGGCGGGGCAGATGGCACGGAGCATGGCGGGCGCGAGGAGGAGCGGCATAGTGATGAGGAGGGGCCGTGCGGAGGGGAGGGCGTGGAGGAGGAGGGGCAGGATGCGTTGGAGAGACAGACGTCAGAGGAGGGTGATGGGGGCAGCGAGCAGGAGGAGGAGGACGATGCAGAGGCACACTCAGACTCGCCCAGCTAGCCATGCACGGCCCCACCGTGTCCCCACTCACCACCTCACCTGAGGTTTCCCCTCGTTCACCTGCCGCTCGCCGCCCAACTCGCCTCTCCTCCCTGCCGTTCCACACCCCTTTGGCTTCCCCCGGCTCCCACACTGTGCAGCATGAGCAGCAGTATTTTCCACCGTGCCGCATGTGCCTGTATGGCAGGGCTGCCAGGGCCGCACACCACACCACACCACATCCATGCACACAGATCACAGCTTCCCATACCGGTACTAGGCTGCACGTGCTCCTGATGAGATATACCGTATGCCGCGTTGCACACGGCACTGCAAGGCCGTGTTGAGGCCAGGGAGCGATTCACATGTGATGACATTCGGCGGGTGCGTGTCAACCCGTCACTCTCCAGTGGTCTATAGCTGCTGCAGTGTAGGGTGTGCCTAGCCTAGTCCTTGCATTGCATGTGGTACACACGGCTTACAGCCATAAGGCATAGCGCCCACCTAGGCCAGATTGCAATTTGATGCCCAGTTGTGTTGCCAGTTCATAGGTATGATTAATTCTTACCCTTGGAGAGCACACTGACTCGGTGAAATGGAAAAGTCTCATTACAGATCATTCTAGCCTGACAGGAGCATGTGGTACATACCATACGGTGCTGTCACATTACAACAAGCAAATGGAAGTGTGTGGCAGCGACACATCTACCATACTAGTGGTGCTCGCTGCAAGTGTACATGGCTCCTGCTCTGCACAGTGCACTGTAACCCCCACATGAAGTGGCTCTAGTTGTCTACATCATTCCACGACCCACCGCTTCCTGCATTGCTTGCTCAACATACGAGCTTGCTTAAGCTTGACTGTGCTGTGCCAAAGCTGAAACACCGTGTAAAGGTTCTGCCCAGTGTGTGTGTACTCACTGGAACATGGAAGGTCACTCTCTTACTGTACAATCACTCTGTTTGCTCTCACAGCAGGCACCACTATCACGCTCCTCACAGGCCCACATGCAGGCAGCGGGACGCTGTGACCTCCACATGTCCCTGTAGCTACACCCTTTACCCTTCACTCCAACACGCACTCTCAGCCTGGCAGGCAAGCAAGCGCCTACCCTCCCGGGACAGCGCCTCCTGCATGTGCAGCGGAGCCATCGGGGGTGCGTGGGGGCATGCCTGACAGCTTCTTGCGCTCCATCCAGTCACAGATGAGCGAGCGCAGCGCGTGGTTGGGGGTGAGCTGCAGGTGTGGCAGCGGCATGAGCGTCTTGGGGGACAGCGAGCTCACGCTCAGCCACTCGCGCAGCGCACTCTCCTCGTACGTGTGCCCGTCCGCTGCCACCACTGGCCACTGCATCACCTCCTGTTGCCACCGCACATGGGGCAGTGCCATGAGTGGCAGGGGTGGAGGGGAAAGGTGATGAGTTGGGAAAAGGTGATGAGTTGTGTGTGAGCATGAGGCATGGATTAGTAGCTGCCAGCCAGAGCTAAGCTCAACACCTTGCAGCCTCGCATTGAAAGCCCCAATGGATGAGAAAGGGTACAGGAGTGGTGATAACATTAAGGCATGCACCATATGCGCTGCTCCAACAGCACCGTGCTGCCATCCCCCTGTAGTGCCGCCCCCATGCCCATGCTGTGGTGCGTGCTATGCTGTGCCATCATGCGCATGTGCGCACCAGGGTGATGGGGCATCTGAAGGCGTTAGGAGCCACCTCCCATACCACCTCCTCCGCACCACCACCACCACCACCGCCCTCCATGCCCTGCAACTGCGCCTGCCGCCGCTGCAGCACCAGCTGCTGCTGCAGCGCCAGAGTCGCCGCCTCTGCCTCCTCCGCCGCCCGGAACGACTCCACCGCCGGCCGTAGCTGCTGCAGCACAGGCAGCACGCCACCCGCAACATCCGGCCGGTCGCGGCGCTTCACAGCAGTGCATTGCCGCGCCAGCGCCGCCACCTCCATAGCCACCTTGCTGGGCCAGCGCGCAGCAGGGTCCGTGAGGCTGTGCAGCAGCGCTAGGTCCCCCTCCGCCGCCGCCTCATCCAGCTGTGCGATGAGCCCTTTCACGCGTCCGCCACTGGTGGTGGCACCCAATAAATCGTACAGCAGCATGCCAAAGGCGTACACGTCGGTGCGGCTGCAGAAGGCGTTGGAGCGCAGCAGCTCGGGGCACGCATAGCCGAAGCCGAGTGCGTCCATGGGGCCCGACATGCTGTCGTCGCCCGCCGTGCGCTTCATCATGCGCGCCACGCCCACGTCTGTTATCTTCGCCTCCAGCTGCCGCCCCAGCAGCACCGTCGTCGGCTTCAAGTCAAAATGCACTATCGGGTGCTCCCTGCATGCACGCACGCACCACAACACCACGCACCACCGGCAGTCTGCATCAACCGTAACTTCCGAGTGCATCCACTACAGAGGGAATAACAATACAGGCAAACTGCAGGCGGGTGGAATGAACAGGCATGGAGGGTGGGATGGCAGTGGGGCGTGTGAGCAGCAAGGGGGTACCGGCAGTGCAGGTGGGCGAGGGCAGCAGCGATGTTGGCAGCGATGTCAAAGCGCTGGTGCCAGAGCAGCGGGGGCGAGTTGTTGGTGCAGAGAAGGCGGTGGTACAGCGAGCCACTGGGCATGAGCTCGTACACCAGGCACGGCGGCGAGCGACAGCACCCCAGCAGCAGCACTATGTTGGGGTGCCGCAGCCTGCTGCCCAGCCGCACCTGCACATGGGTTGGGGGTGGGGGGGGGGGGGTGTGAGGGTGGTGGTGGGCAAGGGGACGCACAGAGGTTGTGAACAAGGGGCAGCTGAGCACTATGTAAGCAACGCACACGTCTGCAGTAGTAACTTGTGCATGCGCATTGCATCGCGCAGCAGCGCGCGGGAAAAGGATGAGACGCCGAGAGGTTCAAGGACCAGAAAAACCGGTTCACTGCGCTGTGAGCAGCAGAGCTGTGTGGGCGAGTGGCAGAACGGCGCACCTCCTTGTCAAACTCATGCAGAGCGGAGTCAAGGGAGTCGTCAAGGCGGCGGATGGCGACTGGCGTGTGGTTGATCTCCCCCCGGTACACGCGCCCACTGGAGCCCTGCCCGATGAGCCGCTGCTCACTGAAGCCGTCGGTGGCGGTGTGCAGGTGGTGCAGCGAGTACTCGCGGAACTCGTACTGCAGCATCTCCCTCTCGCCCTGCGCTGCTGCTGCCAGCGCCACTGCCTCTGCTGCTGCTGCGCGCGCCATGTCCACCTCTGTATGCAGCTGCTGCACCATGCACCGCGCCTCGTGCAGCTGCGCGCAGGGGGGGAGAGGGAGGGGGAGGGGGTTCGGGAAGAGGAAGGAGAGAGGAGCAGGTGGCAAAGCACGCATGCGAGTTAATTCTTGAAGCCACACAGAGACGGCCGAGGATGGGGAGGTGGTAGACAGACGGGCGCGCAGGAACAGCGGGAGGCAGGCAGGAGGGCAAGGGTTGAATCAAACGAGAAGGGAGGTGAGTTGAGGAGAATGAGGGGGAAAGAGAGAGATAAAGGAGCCAAAATCCGTGTCTCACCTCTTGTCGCATCTTCACCATTTCGCTATCGCTCTCACTCTCTCTCTCCTTCTCCCTGCATGCGCCTCGCCCTCGCCTCGCCCCCTTGCTGCTCCCCGTCCATGCCTCCGCTGCTTCATCCACCGCCGACCTTCTACTCTCCCCGCCCTCGCTCCGCGCGTAACCCCCCTCCACCACGGCCGCCCCTGCCTGTCTCTCCGCCCAGCTAGACACCGCCACTTCTCTGCTCCCCACGCCACCCCCTCGTGCTGATGCGTGCATCTCCCGCGCCGGCTCAGCTCCCCCGCGCCCCTTTCCTTCCCCACCATCCCCCCCCACAGCTTCCCCCCCTGCCCCGTTGATCGGCCTTCCCCATCGCTGCTGCGAAGCTTCGTGAAGGTGATGGTCAGGAGACGCGGGAATGACGGAGGGCGCGCAGGCGGACGAGGAGTGGCGCGGAGTTAGCCGCGCACCCGCCTCCAAGTTGCCCCCCGACGCCCGCGCAACCTGCCCGTGCACCTGCGCGCGACGGCGAGACTGCGGCTGGGACGGAGAGGTGGAGAGGGGATCGCGGGGGGGCGTGGGAGCTTGCGCGATGGCGGAATCTTGATCGCGGGTAAGCGCGGGGGGGTGGAGCGGAGAGCCTACGAGGGAGGATGCGGAGGAGGACGACGAGGAGGAGGTGGAAGAGGAGGTGGAGAGGCGCGAGGGGGAGGGTTGGACGGCGGGAATGGTCGCGCCGCTGGGGAGGACGAAGGCGGCGGAGGACGGGCGCTTCTTGGCGGTGGTGACGGCGAGCACGGAGCAGTGGTGCGGCGCGAGATGGCGCGCGCAGCCGTGCGCAAAGCTGTGGTTGGGGCGCAGGAAGGAGTGCCGCGAGTTCACCACGAGCCGCGACGCCCCCACGCGAATGGCGGCCTGACACAGCCCCACGTCCGGCTTGTCGTCTCGCGCCACGTGCGCTGTGGCGACGAGCTGCGGGGAGTGAAGCAACCCGCAGAGGGATGGAATGCGGCGAGAGCATGGCCGTGAATGACGGCGGGGAATAACGACGCAGCAGGGGGGAAAGAGCGAAGGCTATCGAGTCAGTGAGGGAAGCGAGACACGGAGATGCGAGGGAGCGGGAGGGCGCGCGGGAGTGCGAAAGGGGTTGCGGTGGGACCTTTTTCTTGAAGTGCAGCTCCATGACGAGCGGCTTGAGAATAGTGTCCATCAGGTGCGCCTCGTGAATGTCCGCCACGCGCGACTCGAGCTGACTCACGTTATACGATATGCCCACTGCGCGCACACAGCCACGTGGAAGAGCGCACGGCACGCTGTCCTTAAGACGCGCTCCTGGTCAACTAGGGTCGGCCAGCGGTGCACTCAAGGCGCCTCATGGTGTAACGAGAGGAGCCTCGGGAAAGAGCAGCGCGGCGTTGGGTGGACGGCAAGAGGGGTTGAAATGTAAACGATACAACGAAACGAGTTAACGGCGACGAGGAGAGCAAGCGCGTCGCACTCACTGGCGCAGGGGACCTCGCTCATAACGTAGACGAGCACGAGCGACACTCGCTGCGACGCCACCTCCGGCTCCTGCAGCACGAACTCCAACAGGCGATGCGTGTCCTTGCCCACCTCCACCGCCCACCGCTCCACCACGCCCGGGGACCGCGGAGATCGACCTCCCATCCTCTCTGCTGCCATCGAAAATGAATCGGTACCGGCCCAGGTTGAAGCTCCTAAAGGTGGTGAACGTGGGAACGAATCACGTGATAAGTGATAGCAGAAGGCAAAGTGGTACGGCAAGCAAGTCGAGCAGGAGGGGGAGATGGGGAGCGAAAGGGATGGGCCTTGCGATTGCGGAGGGGCGGGGAGTGGCGGAAAGTGGAGCGCGACGGTGGTGGTGGCGACCCCGTGCCTCGCGCCAAGTGTGCGCGCGGTGAGGCGGGCACGTGAAAGCAACCAACTGCTCCGAGCCTTCCTCTCGACCTCACTCGCGCGGAGAAGAGAGATTTGATTGGAGCCCGAAATGCCAGTCCAAACGTTGCTAACGGAAAGGGAGAGTATATCCCTGCTCCATAGTTTCAAAAATGTCTCAAATTTAGTCGTAAGTTCACTCAAAAAGTACAGCTTTCTAGAAGTTTGCTCACGCGAGGCCCAGATTATGTTCAAAACTGGTCCTGCGGGACAAAATTTTCGACACGTGTCCTATTTCGTATTAGCAATTTCTGACGGGGGCAAAAAACATAAAACCCCTAGGGGACCAGGACACACGTTCGGGAGGGACCAACCCTAAACACGGGGACCCGCTTGGTGTTCAGGGTTGATCCCTCCCGCAAATGTGCCCTAGTTCCCGAGGGGTTTTATTATTTTTTGCCCCGTCGAAAAAAATTCCAAGCGAGATTGGACACGTGTCGAAAAATTCGCCTCGCAGGATCCGTTTTGAACATACTTTGGGCCTCGCGTGAGCGAAATTCTAGAAAGTGGTACTTTTTTAGTGAGCCTGGGGCTAAATTTGAGAGAAATCTGAAAGTATGGACATGGAATATAGTTTCCCTAACGGAAAATACGATCTCTGACACCAGATCTGATAGTGGTTGAATGCACTTATCGAATACAGCAGGCCCTTACATTCCTGTCATATTGTCCGTCCAGGGCAGTTTGCATTGACATATTGCAATTATTATCCACTAACTGTATGACAGATATGAAACACATCTTGAACGTACAAGGATCGGAAGGTGAGGCTTCCACTACTAGTAGCTACAGTGTACCGTATTCCAATAACTGTCTCCTAGCTAGACTCTTCATTCATCCACAATGGAGCATGTGAAGCCTGACCTGACCCTTTCTCATTATCCACAACAATCACAACATTCAGCAAGAATGCCCATCTAGTGGACCAAAGGATCCCACACTGCAACTATCTTTACCATAGGTGGAGCATGGTGTATAATTCGGAATCTAAACTCAACAACACTCCGTACACAATTCCCTGCAGTGCAACAGTTCCCAAAAATCTACAGTACACGCACGATCCCCTACATTACTGTCATGTTTTCTCCCTGGCTGGTGGCAAATATGTTATAGCCGAGTCAGAGGATGAACAGATCGCAGAGTTCCCCAGCACAGGCCGGGGAGAAAGAACCTACAATAATACGTAATTGCAGCGTGCAGGCAGGAGCTGCTCAAGCAAGCTGGGCGCTGTTCTGAAAGGGAGGTGTGGGGCGAGGAGGGAGGTGCACGGAGTGTGCACGGGTAGGGTAGGGCTAAGAATCAACACACTCTGCTGCCGATTGCCTGCGCGATCCTCCCTTGGGCACATGCGGAGGCAACGGCCCACTCCCTCCTCCAGCCCCTCCCCCTCCACTGCTGCTGCTGCTCCCGCTACCCCCACCACCCGGCCCATATGTCCCTGCCTGCCCCTGCACACCCACATATCCTGCTCTTCCCACCACATCCCCTCCGCCATACCCCATGCCATAGCCCCCATACGTGCCCATGCCCCCCCCTACCACGGGTGGTTGGGAGGAGAAGCTACCGGAGGAGAACCCACCGGCAGAGTAAGCCAAGCCCCCGGCACCACCACCTGCTGCAGCGCCTGCACCCTGCACAGGGGCTTGCAGGGCAGCAGCAGCAGCAGGGGGTGCAGCAGTCCTGCGGGGAAGGAAGCCCTTCCACGAGTTGGACCGATGCAGCCGGCTGCTCGCTGCTGCTGCCGCCGCCGCCGCTGCCTGCGCCTGTGCCTGCAGGGCAGCTGCCTGCGCTGCCACTGCCGGCCCCCCTTGACCCATGGCCGCTGCGTTTGCGCTGCTTGCTCCCGGCCTGCCGCCCGCTGCCGGCTGTGAGGCGTAGGGGTTCATGGGGGAGGGGCCTCGCATGCCATACATGTACTGCTGCGCATGGGCTGCTGCCGCCGCTGCTGTCATGCCTGACATGTCATAGCCCCCTGACGGGCGCTGCGTGGGGGAGGTATTGGAGCGGATCAGAGGCACCATGCCTGGCCCATTGCTCGGGCTGCCTGACCCCCCTCCATCTCCCGCTCCCCCACCTGCACCCCCACTGCCTGCACCGGTAGGGTGCGCTGCATGCCCCCCACCCAGGTGTGACGCACTACGAGTGCCCGCTCTCCCCCCGCCCCCGTCGCCTCTCCCTCCCCCACCAGCAGCACCCGCGGCAGCGCCAGCAGCAGCGGCAGCAGCAGCAGCGGCGTCCATGGCGGCGCGCGCCTCCATCTGCATGCGCGCCTCCAGGCCAAAGCGCAGCGGCAGGCTGTGCTGGCGGAACTCCAGAGGATTGCCCGCAGCACCGCTGGTGGGCGTGCCCACAGGCGTGCCCATCTCACTGGCCGCCTCGTCATAGTCAGGCGCTGCCAGCTCCGACAGCTGCAGGTTGAAGTCCAGCAGCCGCTCACACCCGCCCACCGGCCCCATGCCCATGCCCGCCTTGCCCACTCCCTGCGCCGCTGCCGCACTGCCCGGGGTGGTGGAGTGCGCGGGGGAGGCGGCGGGGGAGTCGGCGGAGGGGTCGCAGGCGAGGTGGTGCGCGTGCAGCACGTCGTTGATGCGCGATCGCACGGACGTGGCCACTCCCTCCAGCACGCGTGAGTAGCTCTCCAACACCGCCTTGCCCACGTCCTGCCATGCACCGCCGCACGAGGGTAGGGTACACGTGATGACACGAGGGGAGAGTGGGCAAGAGAGGGAGGGGCATGGGGGTGAGAGTGAGTGAAAGGTGAGTGGAAGGGTTGCAGTTGCACCACTTGGTGGTCATGCGCCGTGGCCAGGAACAGGCACGGAATCCACCGTCACTGCACCATGCGCTGCTATGCTCTCGCCACCTACCACCCTGCCACTCCCACCCATCCGTCCCACCCGTTCCACCCATCCCACCCGTGGCACCCTTGGCATGTGTGGCGCCCTCCCTCCCCCCCCCCAGCACGCACGGAGTTGTAGAGGATCTTGCTGGTGTCGAGCGTGGTCTGCGGCAGAGCGGGGCAGCGGTCCTTGATGCTGCGCAGACACGCCTCGGCACGGCTGGCGTACTCCTCAAACTTGGAAATGTCGCGCGCTGACGGGCCCGTCGAGTAGTGCGCACTGAACGAATGCGTCAGCTGCGGGGCTCTGCCATGCATGCACAGAGAGGCGCAGGGGACAGAGGGTAGGGTGAGGGATGGGAAGGGCATGTGGCTGCGGCACTTGGTGCACTGGCGAGCAGAACCTACGGCTTGACACTTGTGCAGTCAAATGTGCAGTATATAACAGCTGGTTGGCGTCAACTGTGGTGCATTCAGAATCCGCCCACAAGCACTACAGTCTAGAACGATTGGCATTCTTGGAAGCGGAGAGGGCTGGAGGGGGAAAAGAGGGGAAGGGTGGAAAGGGGGAGGAAATGGAAGAAAGTGTGGCCCATAACAGAACGGCCTCCACTGCTACTCAAGTTCGTCCGACTTAAGCCACTTTGTCACTAGGGGTCTACAGTATGAAGGTACTTGACCCTAGAAATTCTGAAAGTGGACCAAATGCTACCCTGGATTGCTAGTGATTCCAGTTGAATGCCTAATCAACCAGATTGTGCAAGCAGCCCTTCCCGTCTCCACTCCCATGGCCCCGGTCCCTCCCGGTCCCTGAGTGGCGCGCTGACCTGGAGGTGTGGGTGGCGCGGCGCCAGTGGAAGCAGGCGGCCTCGAGGCGGCAGGCGAGTTTGAGGGCGGCGTGCTCATCGGTTAGGTCGACGGTGTCCACCACGCGCTCCACGCTGAACGCCGTGCCCACTATCAGCGCGTACAGCTGGTCGCCCAGCGCCGCCCTGCCCGACTGCCGTGCCACCGGGGAACCATTGGGGGGAAGGAAGCGCGGGAGTGAGAGGTGAGACGGGGATAGGTTCGTAATGGTTCAGAGCTTTCAAACTGTGCGGCATGGTTCCCAGCCATGGTGCTCGGTGCAGGTGGTGCTGTGTGGCAGCAGCGAGGCAGGGCAGGGAGGGACGGGGAGGGGCGGGGAGGGGCGGGGAGGGGCGGGGAGGGGCGGGGAGCGGACCTTGGGGAGGTTGTCGGTGTAGGCAGCGGGCACGGCCATGTCTTCGAGCGCCTGGGTGTTGATGGCCATGGCGAGCTTGACGACCTGGTTGGACTTCTCCATAGCGTGCTCCAAGTTGCGCCTCAGCTCCTCACTCAACCCACATGCCGCCACCCGCGGCACCGGCCGCCACCACCGCCCCGTCTTCGACTCCTTCATCACGCCCCCCCCGCCAGACGTGCTCTTGCTCGCGCTCCCCCCTGCGCCGTCCCCCCCCGCGGAGCTGGTTCCGCCGAAGCTGGCCTGCCTGCGCGCGGCGGAGGACTTGGCCTTGCTGCTGTGCCCGAACGACTCCGAGCGCGTCCGGTGGTGGTCGCGGTCCTTCCCGCCGCCCTCGCCCGCGTCCTCCCCGCTGCACTCCGCGCACGCGCACCCGTCCGCGTGCCTGCTGTTGCGCCGCCTCTCCACGGCGCCGTTGGGGGACGGGTCGGGCTTGGCGCGGTGGGGCGTGGGGGGCTTTTCGTTGGGGTAGGTGTATTCGGTGGAGGTGCATTGGTCGAGCATCTCCAGCAGCATGTCGTCCAGCTTCTTCAGCGCCGGCAGCTGCTGCTTCATGTCGTCGCGCTGCTTCGTCACCATCACCTGCGGGCAGCGCGTATGTATGCGGCGGGAAGGAATGCGGGGGGGCGTGCGGAATCAGGATGAAGGACCGCGATGGCGATGCAGGGGATGGTGGTGATCAAACGGGAAGGGGCGCGCGGGGAGGGAGGGGTAGGGTGAACGATGAAGGAAGAGCACCGTAGGGAGAGGGAGCAGAATGGGAGCGGGGACCGGGTTGGGCGGACGAGAGCACGTTAGGGAGGGAGATGGCACGGCGAGGCGCGGGCGACGGAAGGAGCATGCGCGCGGGCCCTAGGTTACCGTAGAGCGCGCATGCGCGGGGCACACGGGACCACCCCAGCACGCGCCGTGCCTAATCCGCCATTCCCCTTCTCCCTCCCCCCCCCAGCGCATTACCTCCTGCGTGGAGCCGTCGGGCATGGTCTGCGTGTGCGGCACGAGCTCGACGATGTGCTGGCACACGGACAGCATCGTCCCCATCTCCATGCGCCACCGCCGCTTGCAGTCCGCCGATAGCGGCCGTAGCCGCAGCCCCTCGCCGAACAGCGACACTGGAGGCGCGGGGCGTGGGGGGAGAGAGAGTCGGGGGTTGCGGGGAGGAATGCGCGATGGGAGAAGGTACGGGTGTGATAGAAGACTTTAGGGTGCGAGCGAATGACGACACAGTAAGAATAGGGAAAACACGGGGCATAGGCTCGCGAGAGAGAGCGATGCGAGGGACGAAGGGAGAGGCGGAGAAGCGGCACGAGCAGCAGGGGCGGCGAAGAGACTGACCTGAGAGGTTGGTGATGGCGTTGGACATGGCGAGCGCGGGGCACACGCCCTTGGACCCGCCCGACATGTCCTCGCCCAGCAGCAGCTTCGCGAACCGCTCCCGCATCATGCGCACCTCTGCGCGCGCACATCGCCACGCGGTGGCAGCGCAGGGAGTAAAGAGAGGCGAGAGTAGGAGGGGCGTGAGGTGCGAGGATGCAGCGGGGAATGGAGAGGGGCGATGGAGGGAACGGGTGGGTCTAGTGAATGTCGGCCGGCGGTTGTGCACTCTTTGCAACGCGGTGCGGAAAGGAACGGGTGGGGACGTACAAGTGGGTGGAAGCAGACACGAACATTGTGCATGGCTTGCTCAACTTGGCCTTCACATGCTGCTAATCCACCTTGCGTCTCCTCCACAGGCTGATTCAGTATTGTGCGTCACCGTAAACCTATTTTCCACGTTATGTTGTTTCGTCGCTTGCCACGCGTTGCTCAGTGCACACGGCGCGGCCGTCGCGTGCCGTCCCTAAGGCCTCGCCACGGCGTCTCACCTTGAAGGTCCACTGGATCGTGCGAAGCCGCCGCGCTGCCAGCGCCTATCCGTCCCCCGCACTGAGGGCACCGGCCTTTACCGTGCCCCGCCACTGCCGCATCGGTTGCCGTAGGCGACGAAGGCTCCGCGTCGCCTCCTCCATCGTCCTCCGCCCGGCTCGGCATGCCTTCCTCCTGCTGCGCCGCCGCAGAGCCTTGAAAATATGAAATACTTCACGTGCAATTATTTTACGGTGCAAAAGCTGGCAGAGTTTCAACAACACGTGTGTGAATGTGCAAGGATGCACTAACTCCCTACAGCCTGAAGCTTTGACTTGTGCTGTGCTGAGCAAGCTATGGGGCAGTTCAGAATATCCCAACAGTAAAAATGGAAGCAGGGAAGTGTTGGTGGGGTTGGGGGCAGCGAGCGCGAGGCATCTGGTCGAGGCTGTTGCGAGGGTTCCTGCTCTCTGCTGCGGGGTGGGAATGGGTGGCTCTGGTATGCTCGCCTTCAGCGCATCGGAGCCGTCGAATCGACCTGCGCCACTCATGACGGGCGCAGAGGGGGAGATGCGACTGCTGCCTCTTGGTTGGTGCGCCGCGCTGGCTTCGGGGAAAACAGGCTTGGCTTGGGGGAGGCCTGCAGGTTTGGTGGGGAGGGAGGCGGGAGGTACGATGTGGCTTGGTGATGGCTGGGTTGTTCGCACGCAGATGTCACTGAAAATTGCACTTTCCTTTTCAGAATGAGTGTCGACAAGCGTGTTTCAGGCAAACGTACCATTCGTCGTTTCATATTGGTAAGTGAGGTTGGGTGCACACGATGGTCTGCCTGTGGGGGAGAAATCGGGTGCGAGCTGCACTCGCAAATGTACCGAAGCTGTTTCGAGTGAACCGGAGCCTTGAGAGGCAGATGACCCTGGAACTGGGTGCATGTTCTTGCAGGTTGGTCAAGGCGCTCCCAAACCGAGGTGTGGTTTGGCAGGCGGTAATGCTGTAACCACATGCATGTGGAGTTATGTTTATTTCTGTCAACGAGATCCATGAAAACTACTGCACATGAACGCACGGAATAATGATACATTACACTGCAACTGTATATTTTTTTTCGGAGAAGGGCAGTTCGGGCTCGGCTGGACCTCAGGTCAGGTAGTGTCAGGTCAGGTGGAAAGTACGGTTCACCAGTGTCCCGAACCGTCCGTGCCCTTGTGCTGCAGCGCTACTGCTTTCTTCAGGAAGCTCTGGAATGATTTGTCTCACACGCAGGTCCGACAAAGAGCCACGACGACATGGGACAGCATACAGTACAGTAGCAGCATGCACCATTACTTGCGACGAGGCGCAGAGGAAGTCGCTATTGTAACGGAACGGACAAATGCTGATATGTCAGATTTTGCGAGTGGGGAAAACAAAAAGAAAGTAATGTCAGATGTAGCGATCATTATGACAACTCAGAAGATATACCATCTGACAATAGTTAGGTATTTATTAGTTTGTAGAACAAAAACATACTGGTGCAGTTTCTACAAAGTTCAGACCTAACATACAGATTTACTTAACAGTAGTGTACTTAGACACTAAGGTTTCAAATCTCAAAGCTGACCACAACATATCATCACTGAAAAGGCCTGGCAGGTGAGGCAGCCATGCTCGCCACATGCCACACATCTCGACTCCTCCAACCCTTTCCTCCTCTTACCTCCCACACCGTCTGATCCATCGTGCTCCTCTCCCCTCCCGCAGCTGGCAGCCTGCAGATGGCATGATGCCTCCCATGGCACACCATGCAATGCAACCTCATATCACGCCACACCGTGCCAAGCCATGCCACACCATCGCATGCCATGCCATCTCACACACCATGCCATGCCACAAGAAGACATACAAAAAAATGACACCGATGACATGCCAAAAAAACACATGCCACATGATCAGATACAACACATGCCATGCCACACCATGATACACTGTCACACAGTATCATACCACACTGAATCATACCACACTGCATCATACCACAGTGTGTAGCACCAGACAATATCAGACCACACTGTATTATTACGAGTCTGTACCATACCACAATGCATCATACCATACTTGACCATACCCACACCATATCACACCACACAGTAACATAACACACAAAAATTTACCAAACCTGTATCATACGAAACTGAACCATACCACAATGCATCATAACACACGTGATCATACCACACTGCAGCATACCACAAGGTATTATTCCACAATCTATCACAGCACAATGTATCGTAACATACTGCATCATACCACATTATTTATACCACAATGCACCATGCCACACTGTATCATACCAGACGTTTTGTTAGCACACTCTTACCACACTGAATCATACCACACAAATTCATATCACACTGCATCATACCACACTAGATCATGCCACACGTTTTCTTAACACACTCTTACCAAGCTGAATCATACCATACTAATTCATACCACACCGTATCATACCAGACAGTTTCTTATCACACTCTTACGACACTGTATCATGCTCTCATGCAACAGGTGGCATCAGTGCCATACGGCTCATCATATGCCACCTACCAAGTACGAGCATCATGCTCTCATGCAACAGGTGGCATCACTGCCATACGGCTCATCATATGCCACCTACCAAGTACGAGCATCAGGCTCTCATGCAACAGGTGGCATCAGTGCCATACGGCTCATCATATGCCACCTACCAAGTACGAGCATCATGCTCTCATGCAACAGGTGGCATCAGTGCCATACGGCTCATCATATGCCACCTACCAAGTACGAGCATCAGGCTCTCATGCAACAGGTGGCATCAGTGCCATACGGCTCATCATGTGCCACCTAACAAGTACGAGCATCATGCTCTCATGCAACAAGTGGCATCAGAGCCATACGGCTCATCATATGCCACCTACCAAGTACGAGCATCAGGCTCTCATGCAACAGATGGCATCAGTGCCATACGGCTCATCATATGCCACCTACCAAGTACGAGCATCAGGCTCTCATGCAACAGGTGGCATCAGTGCCATACGGCTCATCATATGCCACTGCCAACCCCACAGCCTCTCACCACCATCACCATCCAGCCCACCCAGCCCTCCTCAACTTCACTTACCAGCATTAGGAGCAGCAGACAGCCCACTCCCTTTCAGAAACAACACTCTCGGGGGATGTGCCTTGAAGTCGAGGTGTGGCAGTGGAAAATTGCTTCCAGCCCAAGACTCAAATCCCACCCCTGACGTAGCTAGAGCTGACGCGAACCAGAGCCGCCGGCCGGTCGGCTCTGACGGTGTCCATTAAGCCTTGAACGCCACATCCGTTTCTTGAGCACCGAGTGCCGTGCCGCGTAAATTCCACCCACCATACCCCAAACCACAAGGCACGACACCAGAGGATGCTGCCCCTAAGGCAGTGAACTGCCCACTTGCTCCTATGCTTCACCCCATCCCTTCACCCCATGCCTCCTTACCTGTACCTACCACAGCCATGCAGAGCGCCATGATGCCTCAGGCTGCGGGGAAGTGGAGAGTGGAGAAAAGGGTTGGGGGGTCAAAAGAGGGATGCCTCTGTCCGCCTTTGCTCAGTGCTCCCTCCCTTCCGCAGGCTGTAAAAAGGGGTGGGGAGAGGAGGAGAGGGGGGGGGGGAGATGAAACGAGAGACGCCCTGTGTCCCGCCCTAGCTCCGGTGGTCCGTCCCTCTCTCATGCTGCAAGAGGGGTTGGGGGGAGGGGGAGAAAGAGAGGGGAGGGGATCAGATAGCTCCGGTGGTCCCTCTCCCTCTCATACCTGTTACCATACCTCACTCACCTGATACCATACCACACCTGATACTATACCACACCTGATACCATACCAGACCTCGCTCACGACTCGAACTAACCTACCCTGTCCTCTAGCCCCCCACCCCCCACTGCTGCTGCTGCTGCTGCTGCCGCTTCTGCTGCTGCAACTGCTGCTGCCGCTTCTACTACTCAGCTTCCTCTGCTACAGTCTTCACTCGCTGCCAAGTGACCTGGTAGGGGGGGAAGAAAAAAGAAAAGTAGAGAACTAGTAAGTGATCTGGCATGACCAGAAAATAGAAAAACTGAAGTTGACAAAAAACAAGAACTCGAAATAAAGAATCAGAAAGGGAGAGGGATGAAAGCAAGACAGCACTGCGGTACCTTGAGAGGCCAAGCCCACCCCCATACTCTCCCTAGTGGCAGCGACTGGCAGTGCTGCCTCCCTCCCATCCCCACGGGAACCAGCACGGCCACAGGGGAGGGGCGTGGGGAAGCGTCAGTGTTGACCCCCGCCCCTCCCCTCCACCTGCACAGCACACACGCAGAGCTGGTCAGTGGGCAGCGAGGGGATGAATGGTGAAAGTGCAAGAGAGGGAACGGCATTTGCAAGGCGGGAGAGGGGAGGGGCCACTGGTGGAGGCCAAGTCACAAACTGCAGACCCAAGGGCTGCACCTGAGGGGGTACCTGCACACCTGCACCTGAGGGGGTACCTGCACACCTGCACCTGAGGGGGTACCTGCACCTGAGAGGGTTACCTGAAGTAAAGGGGTCTGCAGCATGTGAGCCGGTCCCAACCAGTGGCGCTGATTTAACAGGAAGGTGCGGAAGTGCATGCAAACACGAGATGCAAGCAAAGTACACAAGACATGGCGAGGCAGGCAAGGGGTTGAGGGAACTTAGCTGTAAGGCGTGAGAGCGAGCAGAGGGCAGCTGCAGCAGCACCAGGTGCCTCCTTCCCCGGCAGCCCTCCTCCCAGCCTTCCCGTGTGCGTCCCTCCCTGCACGGCCACCGGGGAGAGGCGTGAGGGAATGGCGGTGCTGACCCCACACCCCTCCCCCCCACCTGCAAGGCACACATGCAGAGCTGGTGAGTAGGCAGTGAGGGAATGAAGAGTGAAACAGCAAGAGCAGCAGCAAAATTGCAAGGAAAATGAGAAGGGAGGGGCCACTGGTTGAGACACAACTGCAAGTCACAGACCCCCAAAGGGACCTGAGGGGCTGAAGGCTGTAGGGGGGCTGAACCTGAACCTGAACCTGAACCTGAACCTGAACCTGAACCTGAATCTGAGCCTGAACTGAGGTCTGTGGTTCGCGAGTCGAGCCCCAACCAGCGGCGAATTTTGGAAACAAACAAAGTGGAAGAATAAACGAGAAGCAGAACAGTAGGCAAGGACCAAGGAGGCGAAGCACTTAGCTGGAAGTTGGAGCAGCGGTGGTGGTGGCGTGGGGGGTGCGGTGAAGGAGAGTGGGCAGGGGCGAGCGGAGGAGGTGCGAGCCAGCGAGGAGGGTTGAAGGGAAGGACCTGCGAGGCAGGGCAGGGGGGAGACACAGTGAGTGCGTGGCAGGCGGAAGGGCGCGGCCCTTGCAAATGAAGCGCGAGTGCGAGTGCAGAAACGACGGTGCATATGACAGCCGCCCACAGCCCCACAAGAGCCCCTACCAACCTGAACCTGCACCTGCACCTGAACCTGAACCTGAACCTGCACCTGAAGGGGAGTGGGCTCGAGTGGAGTGTGGTGGCAGGGGCGATACTGCAACCTCAACCGTTGATGAGGCCGAAGCTGCTGCCCCGCTGCCCACACTCCTGTTGCCCGCCCTGGTGCTCCCCTCGCCTGCTTCCGTCCTATTGGCTCACCGGCTGCTTGCTGCTGCACTCCCCCTGGCTTGTGAAGGCCTGGCAGGGAAGGGAGGGCAGGGAGGGCAGGGCGGAAAGGAAAGGCAGCCGAAAGTAAGAGGGGTTGCAATGGAGAAAAGTGTCAAACACACGTGCAACAGTAGAAACGACAGTGCATGTGACGCCAACCACAACCCCACAAGAGCAGCTACCAACCTGAACCTGCACCTGAACCTGAACCTGAACCTGAACCTGAACCTGAGGGGGAGTGGGCTCGAGTGGAGTGTGGTGGCAGGGGCGATACTGCAACCTCAACCGTTGATGAGGCCGGCGCTGCTGCCCCTCCTCCTTGTTGCTCGCCTGCTGCTCTCCCCTTGGCTTGTGCAGGCCTGGCAGGCAGGGAAGGCAGGGAGGGCAGGGCGGGGAGGAGAAGGGAGAGAGATAGTGAGTGGGAGGCATGCGGGAAAGAGCGTTAGCAACTGAAAAGAGCGATGGGCAGATGTGCATCAGCAGAAAAGACAGTGCATGTGATGCCACTCACAACCCCACAAGAGCCACTACCAACCTGCACCTGAACCTGCACCTGAACCTGCACCTGAACCTGAACCTGAGGGGGAGCGGGCTCATGTGGAGTGTGGTGGCGGGGCGATACTGCAACCTCGACCGTTGATGCGGCTCTGCCCTCCGTCCGCTGCCGCCTTGGCCCTCCCGTTGCTTGCTGCTCGCCTGCTGCTCTCCCCTTGGCTTGTGCAGGCCTGACAGGCAGGGAAAGCAGGGAGGGCAGGGCGGGGAAGAATGAGGCAAAACGGGAGATTTGCTCATGTGTGTATGGTGGGGAAATGGAGAGTGTGGAGTGCGATGGGGATTGGCGATAACAGCAGAGGCTGAACATAAATAGCGGCAAGGAAATGGAAGGAGGGGCCACTGATGGAGGCACAACCACAAGCCACAGACCCCCAAGGCAACCTGAAGGCTTTATGAACTTAGGGGGGCTGAACCTGAACCTGAACCTGAGGGGTTTACCTGCACTATGGGGAATGGGGGTCTGTGGCTTGTGAATCCTGCCCCCACGAATGGCAAGATTTGGACGGAGGAAGTATGTAGCCCAGTGTGTGAACATGGAACAGAGGGGCGCGGCATTTCAGGTGAGGAATACAAGGAACTTAGCTTTCAAGTCGAGTCTTCACTGCAGCCTGCTTGCTGCTGCCTCCTGCCTGCTTCCTGATTCCTGCTTCCTGCTGCCTCCTGCTTTCCCAGGAGCCTGCCAGGAAGGGAAAAGGGATGGGGGGTGGAGAAGGGCGAAGAGGAGGCGGATACGAGGGGGGGCGAAGGGTGGGAAGGTGATGGCAGATAAGGTCTAGCCTAACCGCCGGCCTAGACAGAACGCTACACACGCAGCAACGAGACAGGATGACACGATTTCCCTAATAAGCATGAGTCAATGGACTGCAGATGGGACGGAAGAAGCGGTGGAGTGCTTACCTGACGAGGACGCGGTGACGTGAGCGCGAGCGAATGTGTGAGGTGGGGCATGCAGCACGGCGCTACGAGATTAACCCGTCTCCGCCAGAGGTGAGCGGACGTGCCATTCGTCGCGCGCATGCGCTCACGCCGTCGCGCAGCTCCCGCATCCGCGCGCGCGGCTTGCTCACTCGCTCGTTCGCGAGTTGCACTGAGCACCCACTCGCGAAGAACGCGCATCGCCGAACGCGCGCCCAACGCCGCGCCTGCCATACCACGCGAAACACGCGGCCATTTCGGAAGGTGAGCATGCGGAAATACGCGACAGAAACTATGAATACGCTAATCTGCGCGAAACGATCAGCAACGAGTCGATCGAAGGGAAACTGCGCGGACTAACCTGGTCGTCTTCACCGCATTAGCGTCACCGCACGTCGCCGATTGGAATCGCTGCCTGGCAAGAGCTAGCCACCTGCGACGAGACGACTCGTGACGGGCTTGACGAACTGTCGCCAGCGTTGAGCATCGTCGCCGGCGAGAAGAATTGCGACCAGCGTTAAACATCGTCGCCGGCAAGAATCTATATAGTCGGAAAGGGATCGTCGCAACGAAAAGGATCGCTCCAGCGTCGAATATCGTCGCCAGAGAGGGAAATAAAACAGATTGAGGAATCATCACGCAAATTCGCGACGAGAAGTATTGTGACTATCGTGAAATATCGTCGTCGGCAAGTGCTTCATATCCGGAAGGGAATTTGTAGTCACACGAGTGAAGAACCATCGCCGACAAAGCATTCGCGCAGCGAGGGGAGTTGTGACAAGCATTCAAAGAGAGAGTCTGTGGGTTGATGTCTGCAATTACGACATATTGAAAATGTGAAGGAATGCGTGGAGTTGGTTGGGATTTGTAAGGAATTTTCTCGGCATTCCTTACAAAGCCCGACTACATCGCGTACAGCAACAGCCGTTGTTCGCCCGTTACTGCTAACGGGACTTGCCAACTTAGCGCGCACTTTATTGCCAAACCTCGCACTGCTGGCCCGGCCGTGTCGGCCTACGCTTCGGGACTAGCCCGAGCCTCGCTGCCAGCGTAGCACTAGCTAGCTCGCACGCACCGCGTTACCGTTTGCATGTTCGCATGTAAATGTTCGCTCATGCCTTCACTCACATCTTTGTACTCGTTTGACACCTTAGTGCAATTCTCGCTACTTCGATTCATTGCACCCATAACACTTGGTATTCAGAGCCCCTTTCTTTCGGACCGCGCATCTCCGCACCCCACGAAATCAACTTTTGATTTTTCACTCGAAGGGACTCATGTACCTTAGCACCAAGGAGCCGCTGTCCTCGCGTTCTCTCATAAACGCGTGCAGCCACGACTGCGCCTAGACTAAGACGAGCCGACGCCCTTCGAAATGGCTGAACATATCGACGTCACGACTCTCACGCAGGAGCACTTGAACGATCTACTGCGACAAATCCGCGAGAGTGCCCAGGAAATCGCGACGCTGACGGCAGAACGCTCGTCCCTGCAAAATGACCTCACACGAGCACAACAGGCACAGTCTCAAGCACCTGGCACTCCGGAACAGCCCGCACCACAGGCATCACAACACGGAATCGTGGGGCAACCCGCGAGCGCGGCCAGTGATGGCGTTGTCCGCCCCGACGGAGACGACGACCACGGCACGACACACCCCGAAGCGACGAATGCGGCCCGAAGCCAGTCACGCGTCACAATTTCGGCACCAACCGACGGGTCGGCACTGCCGTCACCGATGCCGCTGAAGCCGCAGCGTCCGCCATGCTTCGATCCCAGCCAACGGGGTGGTCCTACCGTTCAGGCGTGGCTGTTCACGATGAACGTATTTTTCGACGCCAACTACGTCTCGGAGGATACGGCGAAAATCCGATACGCCATGCCGTTGCTGCGAGGACCCGCCATGGATTGGTTGCGCGTCATCGTCACGAAGCCGTTAGACTACGCGACTCTACCTACACGGGAAGGACAAACCGGACCCTGGGCGCCGTCGTATTTCGTGGAGGTGCCCCAGTATCGCACGTGGGACGCGTGGTGCGCAGGTCTGCGCGCTCGTTTCGAGCCAATCGCGGCTTCGATTGCGGCGCGACAGAAGCTCCGCACTTGGCGCCAACTCGGTTCCGTCCAAGACTACACGAGCGGATTTCTGGCGCTATGCGAGCAGGTGGGATATATGCACGAGAGCGAGCGCATCGATCGCTACATCGGCGGCCTGAAGCAGGACATCGCTCAGGAAATCCAGCTTCGCGGCGTCACCGACTTTCAAGAAATTCTCGCTATGGCGGAGAAACTTGATTTCTTCCGCCGACCGAGACCGGGGTCCTACGGAAGCAGCCATTGGGGACATCGGCCTCGTGGGACGAACGAGGGCGCCACGATACGTGCCGTCGCCGCAAATGCCGCTGCCGCACCGTTCAAAGGGCGCTGCTTTGCGTGCAATCGGCCGGGACATCGCAAGAGCGAATGCCCGGAAAACGTTAAGGGAAAGGGGGAAGCTGAGCAGCAGAAACAGACCAAGCAGCAGGGAAACGGTGGGATTCAGTAGCAGACGGGCCCTCTACTGACAGGTCACGGCGCTCGCCCGACCCAACCGGCCCTCACCGAGTGATTGTGCCGGTTCACGCAATCGACCACACCCGGCCGAATAAGGAGGGTACTACGGTAGACAGCCCCATACTGCTTAGTGGGAAAATCGGGACGGACTTAGTAAAAATCTTCGTAGACGAGGGAGCCAGCCACAGCCTCATCAACACTGCTACAGCACGAAAACTGCGCTAGCCACTGGACAGATGTTTACCTGAGATCGACGCAAGACTGGTAGATGGCACGCCGCTGGCGATACGGGAACGCGTAGACCGGGTTCGGATTCGATGTGGGGGTAACTTCACGTTTAGCCAGGAAATGCTCGCAACGACCCTCGACGGAACCGATATTTTACTCGGGCGTGATTGGCTGCAACGAGACAATCCGCGAATCGACTGGACGACGGGTGACTGCACCGTGCGAGTGAACGGTAACAAGATCGCCTTACCTCGCTTGGGCTCGCCTGAGTCTTCATCGGTGCGTGTCAACGCGATCACGATGAAACGCGCCGTAGCGGCAGGAGCTGACGTGTACGCGGTCGACATTCGGGAAGCTGAGGCAGCAGACAAAGGAGGGGATTTACAGAAACTGCTGGCCGACGTACCGAGTGATCTGGCAGCACTGTTGAAGCAGTACAGCGACATTTTCCCGGACGATTTTGTCAGAATGTATTTGCTGTCTAGCCTGCAGTGGGGTACTCTGTAATGAGTACAACCCAATTTAGGGTGTTGTACTTGTATCCCAACTCTTGCTAGTGAAACCCCATTCCTCTCCTTCCAAAACCTCTCGATACTTTTCCTAAACTCGAACTCAACTACCAAGGCTCCTAAACTATGGCTCCTAAGCCAAACTCACGCTAGTATTTTGTCATGTTATCAGAGCTTAACGTTCCTGGCCTGTGGGCCCACTCGATTACGCTGCCCTACTGTGTGTCGCGCGCCCCGTGGCGCGCGACATCCCATTTTTCTTCCCGCCACGCGCTCGGAGCGCGTGGCGGTTTTCTGCCCGCCGTGCGCCCCGAGGCGCGCGGCGGGTTCCTACCTCGTCGCGGCGTCTTAGGGGCCCGCGCACTGGCCCTGACCGTCGCCTCGTCGAGGCGTTTTGGGGGCCCGCACGCAGGTCCCTCCCGTCGCCTCGTCGCGGCACTTTCGGGGCCCGCGAGCCGGCCCCTCCCGTTGCCTCGTCGCGGCACCTTAGGGGCCTGCGCGCGGTCCCCTCTCGTTGCCAGTCAAGGCACTTTTGGGGACCTGTACGGCTCCCTAGCACATCGCCCGTCAGGGCACAATGGGGGCCGCGCCCTTCCCCTCCCCTCCCTCCTACTTTCTGCTGCAGCAGCCGCCCCAGCAGCAGCAGCCCCTGGAGCAGCCGCCCCAGCA